TTTTAGAGATTTTCGCTATAGGGCGCATGCGCTCACCAGACAGAGAGAGACAGAAAGCGAGAAATCACCCCCAGGGGGGAAGGTCACGCCGCAATCCCTTCTTCTCCATTCTCCTCTCGGGATCTTGGGCACGCACGCACACGTGCCCGGTGTGAGTTTTAAGCCACCGGGTCCGGGACTCAAACCGCGGTTGACTACGTGGGAGTCCAGCGATATAGCCATTACGCTAACTGCTGGTTCCCTTGTGAAGGGTTTTGATCTGCAAAGACATTTGAAGGAGAAGAAAACACATACAAAACTTTCTCAGATGAAGCTTTATGAAATGATACATTGGTAGAGTTTGGTTATTTTTTTGTGTGTGCCTATTTAAGTGGGAGCCAGGTTTGTGAAGAGGGTCATGCCATGAGGGATGACCCCTGTGGCTTTTGCCTGGACTTACTTTGCAGGGTGGGGGCTGTAAAGACAAGTCTATGAGAGAATGCAAAGATGTGTTCACTGGAGACTCTTCCGTTCCTCTCCAGGTGGGGAGGAGCACGTGTTTGAGAACCCCCCTGTGCTGGATGAAAGGTCAGCCCTTTACTCTGGAGTGCACAAGAAGCCATTTTTCTATGATGGCTCCTCCGAGAAACCTCCTGAAGACAGCTCGGACTCGCTCACCACGTCCCCGTCCTCCAGCAGCCTGGATACTTGGGGAGCGGGCCGGAAGTTGGTCAAAACCTTCAGCAAAGGAGAGAGTCGGGGCCTGATTAAGCCCCCCAAGAAGATGGGGACGTTCTTCTCCTATCCAGAAGAAGAGAAGGCCCAGAAAGTGTCCCGCTCCCTCACTGAGGGGGAGATGAAGAAGGGCCTCGGGTCCCTGAGCCACGGGGTAAGTACGGATGGTGTTTGCTTCTATGACAACCACCGTCGCAGGCACCACCTTCTGGTGTCCCTGGAGGAGGTTCAGAGTGTCCGGAAGCAAATCCGCTTGAAGAAAACGGATACTAATTATTCCTGTTCCAGAGCTTTTCTCTGCCAGCGTCCCTCCAGAAAAGGAGTTGCCAGCACAGCCTGTGACCTGCAGCTGCTCCGGCAGAAACCCAAAGGGGGCGGGAGCTGCGGCTTCCCCAGCCGGAGGGTGCGCGGGCGCACCTCGGTCAGCGAGTTCAATATCACCTACGTGGTGGAGCGGAGCCTGTACAGCCACCTGAACCTGACCCAGCTAGTGCGTCCTGCCTCAGACAGGACCCTGAGCAAGGCTGAGAAACAGGACCTGAGGCGGTGCTTGCTGGAGGAGGATGAGGAGGCAAAGAGGAAGTGGGCTGCCACAGTGGACCGCTGTACTAAAAGGGTTCTCTTGAGAATCCACCAGAAGTCTGTGAGTCACCAAGATGGTCATGAGGGCGGCCTTGTCATTTCTGTGATGTGCAGTCAAGCATTATGGCCTCTTCTTTGGAGCCTGGCCTTCTTCCCTCTCTTCTGCTCATAACTGCAGGGGCCATTCCAACATCACCTCTGATGTCTAACCTCACTTTCATTTGGTATTGGCCTTCTCCTTCTTTCCCATCTGTCCTCTTGCTAATCGACGCTC